TTCCATCACACCCATGGTCACTATTCAGTACAACCTGCTGATTTTCCTAGGCTACTCTGGGGGCACCCTTCCATCACACCCATGGTCACTATTCAGTACAACCTGCTGATTTTCCTAGGCTACAACACTCCAACTTCTCAAGACTACATGTTAATTATATATAACGGGTTTGCCCTAATACCCAACGTATATTAAAAAAGACTACATGTATTTTTTAAAAATCATTTAACGACCTCGGTGTGAATGCACAAAGCAGTACAAATTGGGCCGTGTTCATCAAGCTCTCTTCCATTTTGAGGGACCTCTTTTCTAATCCAGTGACAACCTCAGAATTGGTTTGTTTTTGCATACATTCAACAAAAAAACAGGCCGCCCAAAATTCCTTTAACACCAACATTCAGATGCAAACATACAGGAACTTAAATTGGCTTCATTTATTTTCTAAAGGTTCTTGTTTCTTGAAAACGGACGGTACTTTAGTCTGGAGTACTCCTGCTGGTGCTTGTCTTAACGATAAAAGACACAAACCAAATGAAATGCAAATGAAAGGGATTAGTTTGAGTGCCTTTATTTAAATGCTTTTGACTTCGAACACATACTCTAAATCTTTCTTTGTACTTTTACAGCATCCAAACACTCTCTAAAAGCATGATACTGGAAAGGGAAAAACAAAACAAAAATGAGGACATTTTTATCATAAAGGTTTTTCAACAGATCAACTTTACTTGAAATATCAAAAACCTCAGGCCAACACATATTTACAATAAAAACAGAAGAGTTATGCAAATGATATACTTACGTATTCATAAGTTGACACCGTGCACGATATGGGGCCGATGGGTACCCCCCCACATGTCCAATCCCTATACACACTCTATAGAGTATTGTTACCTAACACATCCTCCCTAGAAGTCTGCAAAGAATTCCTGAGATTCTGATCAAACAATGACCAACACCAAGGCGGGGGGTCGGGGTTCTCTCCACCCTATATCTTGCATCATATGCGTAAGTTGCTGTACGGTGCGTTGATCCTGACGTGAGTTACATAATAATTGCAAGCATTTCCAGAATTACTATGCAAATATATGTACATAAATCTGCTAGTAAATGATACTGTAAGTGATGCAATTTTGTTGCAGGTGTTCAGAATTGATTGCTATTGAAAACAAGAAAAAAGATGCCAAAAGAGTAAGGACTGAAATGATTTCTGGCGGCAACTCGGGACAGAATACATTGTAACTCAAGTGAGTCAATGACATAACAGACCAAAAATATCGATTGCATTGTCAGTGGAATGCAATTACTTGAAATAAATGTTCAACCTTAAAAAACGATCACAGTTGGATTTCCTCCCCAAAGTCCCCTTAGTGTGAATTTCCACATTTTTTCCCACATTTTTCAAATGAAGCACAGAATATTTGCTGTAATTCAAACTTTACTGTAATTTGGGTTCAGCCACACAGACAATGCGGTTCATGCATTTATGCATTGGTTCTGCCTCTGCACAGCTGTGGAAAGTCAATTTATACGGTCACTGACTGATTACACAGTATTTCTCCCACGTCACAAAACTGAATGGCAAAAGCTGATTGTCTGGCACCTGGAGTTAATTGTGCTAAACGTGATTCACCTGAGTCAATATTCATGAAATTGCTGATAGTAGCAAATACCAAATTGCAGATTTTCACAACTAAGAAATGGCTGCGATGCTGTCTTATTAAGACAGTTCCGCTGGTGTCCTGACATGGCTTAGCAAATATGCTGTGTGCGAAGCGGATTCTTGTGTTGAGTGGTTGCATGGAATTGGCACATTAAAAACTTGCTAGCCAGTATTCCAAATCACCGGTTAGCAATTAGGATGAAAATGAAGCTTGCCAGCTGGCATCTATTTGGCTGCTGACAATTTCAAAGTTTTGACAGATAAAAGAGGCTTAGAAAAACAGTCTCAATTTTTCGCATTAATTACATCAAGATACAGAAAACCTCACAATTTATTTGAGATTAAAACTACACGTACAATGAAAGGGGACCAGCCACAAAGACACACTTCTTTTCTACTTTATACTGCTCTTCAACATATGAAAACAATTTGACATCCTTTTGGGATTGAGTGTATTGGGAAAGGCACCTTTTTCAACCTTTGAAATTTTCTATACTTTCATGTTCAACAGAGGGCAGTGCTGCTCTGTTGTCAACTAGGAAGACACTGCTAAGCTGACATGGTTTTCTTTTAAAATTGTGAACCCAAACGTTGTTCCCTGAAAACATATCCGAGAAAGTATTGCATATTGGTTTATTGCCACCAACTCAAACAATAATGAATGACCAAAGAAAAGGAAATTTAGACCAGGAAAATATCAGCTATACCAACTGCTTATGTGCAAATCAATACAATATAAGGGATTTTTCTCCTTGGAATGGCATCACAGCTTCGCTCATGAGTATGGAAGTTCGCATTGGTATAAAAAAACCGAAAAGGCACAAAAGTAATTTTTAAAATAGCAAAACAAAAATTTGAAATAAGATTCACTGTAACACAGAGGTGTACATGTGCATACATGTGCCCAGCTGGCTGGCGGATGCACACTCCTTGTTCTTTCTGATACAACACCATCTCAGCAATCCAGCCAGAAAACAGTCTGCACCACAGTGGTTTTTTTTTTAGCTACAGCTCTGGTCATAACACAGAGACCATGTATGATTATAAACCCGGTATTCCTGCCAACCATTTGTCACCCGCAACTCCAATCTATTCCGGATGTCTCAGACAAATCCTCATTATCAACAGATCGTAAGAATGCTGGTACTTGTATTGGCATTATTGAACTCAACCACGGTATGCCATTACTCAGGCAATTTATCACACAATAAATAATTTATAATAAATTTTTGAGTTTATTCAATGGAAATTCTGGGTTCAGCTTGAAGGCAAACTACCGTATGTGTTGCTGTGATGACAGTGTGACGTGGGAGGGGCCTTGGTACATGTAAGCAGAGGGGGTTCAGCACTTGGTAAGTTAACGCACTGAGCATGTGAATATTAATCAAAAATATACCAATTTCCAAGGGCAAACCTACATGTAGGTTTGGCAAGTCCGTCACAAGTCCTCCCATTTTAAGCCAAGTCAGAAGCTGTATATTCGAATCAACTGTGACCAAGCACTCCTTTGTCATTCGTTCACCTTGTTACCTGTCCCTGGACTTGAGACAGGACTGGTGATGGACCAAACCACAGCACTGCCCAAGAATGCAGATCAAACTGCTAAACTCCCGTGTAAATTCTGCCAGAGATTTGAAATTTTAGGAATTACTGAGGAAGAGCTGCTTGTATAGCAGACAAGGCAACGATGAAGTCCGTCGCGTTGACTGTTCCGCCACTACCTGCTTGGCTCAAATGACGCAACGTCTCCACAACTTGCTGCTGACATGAACTCCTAACATTCTGAAAATGAACACCAGAAACCAAAATCTGAAGTACATAGATGCTTTCTGAAGCCAATGTTAATACTCTGACCTTCCCTGATACTTCAAAATCTATCCAGAGGTTTGTAAGATGTTTGTAAGATGCTCTTGGATTGAAATAGCACCAGTCCAGTCATTTTATCAACAGTGAACTTCACAGTCCTTTAAAAGCTTACATATTAGGAATGTGCCAGTGAAGACGTATGCCTTCAAAATATAACGTTGTTTCATAATTTTTGAAGGTTTGAAAGATGCACCGGCATTGAAAAATGATACAGGGCAGTTGCCATTTAACATGTTGCTGTGTTATCTGGTCATTTGTCACAGCCAATGCTGAAAATGTGAAGCACTTCTGCCTACCTGTGATGATGTGTTGCTACGGCAACTTCTCCTAAGATGAGGCAGTCCCAGAACTTCTTGCCTGGTATCCTGCAGCAGTGGGTGGAGCTATATAAAAAGAGAGGATTCCTGTACAAGCCATGCGGCAAAAGAATTGAGGTCTCAGACTGTGATTACTACGAAACAAGTTCTGCGATTAAAAGCCTGTTTTCATATTTTGGTTGCATTACCAAAACCAAAAAACAATGCATTTCTCCATCAATTTTAAGAACAGTATGTTCATAAGCCGTACAAATAAATGAAAAAATCTCATTTCTTGGCGAGTATCATTCTGGGATGTAATGAAATCAACCGTGGATCTTTAAGGGGTAAGCAGCATGCTGACTTCTCAATAAATGATGAGGTCCAGCGGATCACACAGACGAGGGTGAAAAAGTGCAACATCAATTGGACTAACAACTTACTGTACACCAAAGCTAGCGCAAGTTTCAAATTTTACTTTTATTGAGCTGCGATGTTCTCTACATCGCACGCAACACCACAAAACAAATGCAAACTACAAGACAATAACTAAGCCTGGTACTGTAGGTAAGATGGAGATCGTGGTTTCATGGTTTACGCCCCTCTGCTGTGGAAAAGTTTACCAGTTTTTCTTAGAAATATTGAGAATTTAGGGACTTCTAAATCACAACTGAAGACTTTTCTTTAAAAGATGTTAACTTTGAGTTTAGTTTTATTTACTGTAATGTGTTTGTGCGTAGAGTGTTGACATATCATCCAACTTGTTTTAAATGTAACAATATGATATATATTGTACCTATACATTTACTTTTACTCATTAATCGTGGATTACTATTATTTTTTTAATATATGCTGTGAAGCATTGGAGACTTATTGTGTAAAACGTTATATGAAGAATACATTATTATATTATCATTTGCCTTGGCAAACTACAAATGATAAATATAAATGATAATAAAGGGAAGACGTAGCCATAAAACAAGCAACTCGGAACACAGCTTTAGGGGAAACAAGTCAATCTGCTCAGATATTCTGCAAGCTTATTGTTTTCTCCCTTGCAAACAACAAATTAAAACACAATGCCTAGTTTCTTACCTCCTTGGCGATCTCTGAATTGCTGTCACTGTGGTCTTGCTGATCTGTAACTTCAAGTCTCTCCAATTCCTCCTCTTTCTGTTCGAGTAACCTGTTTCAATCCCCCAAACATGACCCCGTAAGTTAATCTTTACTGAGCATTTTATATTCTAAACAGACTCCACAGCAACAACCTTTGTTCTAGATTTTGCCATCCACATTTTGTTTGCAATCCTTTTGTTGTGCCTATTGAAAGCAACCTCAGGCTCACGACCATTCCACCAACAGATCTCACATACCAAAACCATCACCACTTTTCACCACACCACAAGTTCTGAAAACAAAGGTCTCTGCCACAATCCAATCTTCATCTCCACTTTGGCTTCATTGTCAGCTCTAAAATCTTCTTCAAGCATCTCCTAAATTCAATCCAACAGAGCATTCACTGACCTATGACCACAATGACACGGTATGGTGTTTCTCTGGCGGCAAATGGAGAGGCACTGAGCAGGTTTTACCTAAACTTAGTTCCACAGCTCAATAAATGACACCCACGGCAAACCTGGAGATCAAGCTGAAGTTTGGAGGAAACCATCTATGCCTCTACTTACTCTTGCTGCAGTTTAACTTCTTTCTCCAAGCATTCCACTTGGTTGCTAGTTTCCACAAGGGCTGCTTCCAAGAGGCGCTGTAAGGACAGATTGACAAAAACCACAACCTCAAAGGAATGGTCGTTTGTGAATAAACCCAAAACTAGGCACCGCATCACTGGCTTCCCAGGTGCCTCACACAAAGGAACCCACATCACAGGCTGTTAAAAAAACGATTGGTATTTCACTCCTTGACGATACGCCATCCAAAAATTGTTTAAACATTGCCTGCAAGATAGCTTGCTACTGAATTTTCCTTCTACCGGTAAGCTTCTCAGTTTTTGTAAGAAAAACCTGAATGCAAGTCATGCTGGTAGGCAGAGGGGGAATGCTACAATGCAGGCCAATTAAGCAAAAGGATTTTGAAGAATCAAATTGATTCATAGACATTAGAAACGTCATTGTTGAAAAGAATGACTCTGACACTTTTAGATAATTCCATAAATACCAAAACTGTACTGACAGTGTGTTTTTCCATGTCTTTGTAGTTAGGCTGTCTCCTACTGGGAACTTTAAGTGATGCAAAGCTCTTCAACAGCCTGCAAAATACAAAGACAAAGAATTGGTCAAAAACAACATCTAACACTTATTTGCAGGCAATCTCATTTTTGTCTTTTTCACTGAAGGTTAAAAGACTGTTCAGCTAATATCACTCACAAGTAAGCCAGTCAGCTGGGCAATTTCTTTCTGGAAATTGTCACAATTCAAACTGAAAAAAACTGCAAGAATGCCACGAAGGAATGAATGGCTTTTAAGAGACAAATCACAAAGGTTTTGTTTGATGTGATTTGGAATAAAGTTCCAACCTTGTTTTTAAGTTGTTGAGATGGTCTTGAATGTCATTGTTGATAGGTCTATCTGTCTCACTCAGAACAACACTGTGAGAAAAAAGAAACAGAGATGCCATCAACACGGTCACATCTTACCTTTTGTTTTTGAATACATGAAAATGGGGGTGCATGGAGGTGTCGTTGTCAGCGAGTAATTCCATATGAAGATGCAATGCGATGACTACACAGGCATAACTCAGACAGGGGTATCACTGAATGGCACAGTATGGCTACTTCCGAGACCAAACCAAGGTCATGTCTTGTCGTTCTTGTGAACTAACGGCTTTGCATGTGTAAATGACGTGCCATGCTTGCTACTAATTTCCCGAGTCTGGAAAAACTACTGTAGGCTAATTTGGCACCTCCAAGTTCGAAACCGTTACAGCAGTAGTACCATGCTTGCATACAGCTGGGGCCAATTTCAAAGAGCTGCTTAAGCACAAGATTTATGAAAGGTTACCAGCTCAAACTCTATCTGATTGTCATGCCAACCAAAAGACAGCTAAATACAATCCCAAAACAATATATCTAACATGGAGTTCAGGCTGGTTACCTGATTTATCAAGCAAGGTTTTCTCACGCTTAAGCAAATTTGTGCTTAAGCAGCTCTAGGAAATTGGTCCCATCTGGTGTTATGTACAGGTTAAGCACCTCTTTGACCAATAGGATGTTTTAATTTGCTAACTGCACGCAAACGTCCAGCTCAAGAATGCACACAGGAGTACCGTGTCATAGCAGTAATTATGTCTCGTTGGTTTAGTGTACATCTTACGCAATAGCACTGTCGGCAATCTGGTGCAAGAATTCTTGGGTGGTCTTGGTCATGGTCTGCCATTTAGCGATGCTCTGGGCTGACACTTGTCGCTCTAGGTAGTCCTCCTGGCCAAAGGCTTTCCTCTGACCTACACGATTGAAATTTAAGACTGAACAGTGGGTAGCAACTCTAAACGAGCTTGCAGAGACAAGCATGCCAAGACAACTCAGCAGACTTGCTGCTTAGGCATCTCCTGAATGGATTTGAATTTGCCAGGGCTCATCTTCAAACTACTGTTGAAGATATTAGGTTGAATTTAAAATTTACAAATCGTCATACCGGTTTGGCGTCTCCGTTTAGTGGGACTGCCTTCTCTGCTTCCAACAGGAACTTCTCCCTGATGAAATAAGTATACAAATGAATTAAAAACTTTATCAGATCCAGTTTATGGTCTTCCTAAACAAAAACAAGACTAATTCATTCCAAGCATGCGAGTGAATTACTGCCATAAATGATTTTTGGATGTCTTCTTAGGCAATAATCATGCAAAAATCATTTATGGAAGCGATTCACTTGTATGTTTGGAATGATTCAAGTTTCCTTTTTTTCTGAAATGCTACAGTTGTTTCACAGTCTGCTCTGCTGCTAAGTCACAGGGGCAATTGGTGAGATCAATCCTAAGCCCATGGAATCATGATGGCTCTTTTCCGGAGTCCCTGAGCTGGAACAATGAAACAATTCGCGCTTCTTCCGAGCAAAGCAGGAGCGGCGGCGTATGTACATGTAGGTGGGGGTCAGTTACATTGGAAGTAACGATACTGACAAGAAATTGTTGAGATTCCAGATTCAGCTGTCGGTTGACAATCAAATAGGTAAACTTGCAATAAGTGATGCAAGTAGATTGAAAACAGAATGCCAATTCTTACCTGATTCTTCCCTCTCATTTTATGACTTCTTTTTACTCCAGTTCCTTTTTTCTCTCCCGCATCTCTTTGCGAGTCACCTGGCACATCATCAGTCTTATCTGGTACCCATCCTTTCCTAGCCCGCCCACTGCCTCCCTTTGAGGCTATTTCTCCCCAGCCCGGGCCAGCAGGGGCACTGCTCTTGGCTGTATCTCCTGTCTTCTGCCTTCTCCCAGGTGGTCGTTTCCCCTGCCTGGAGGGGTTTAGCTGTGAGGACGAGTCCGAGGACCCCGGACTCGTCATCTCCAGTGTACCTGCCACATTGGCAGTGGACTTCTTGGCTGGCTTTCTCCCTGAGATGGTAGGGCCTATTTCAATACAAGTCAGTCAGGATCTGATTACATTGGCTTGGTAGCACCTTCATATTCTGTTGATGTATCTGGATAACATCCTCTTGCCATTTCTTTGGCAATAGCTGCATTTTTTAGGTTCAACTTCTCAAAAAGCAAAGAAATTTCGAGGCCAAACCCCTTTCACGAGGGATAATGAATATAAGGTTGTAATTAAGGTGAAATGTCTTCAACTGGTCCCTTTTATAAAACTTAAACCTAACTACAATTGATTCATAATATTTGGGTGAACAGCGTACCTCAATCACTTTTACATGAAAAAGTTCTTCATGTCCTATTTTACATCTATTCCAGACTTTGGCAGATTCCTGGGGAAATGTTCCAGGAGGTCAGCTGATACATGTACAGTTACCTTTCTTAGCTTGAGTTGCTGCTGCACCCCTTGCGGCATCATTCTTCTTTGCAGTAGTCTTGGCTCGAGGCATGGTTTCACGATGCTAATGAGTTTGACAGTGGTACATTGTAAACGCATCTACACATACTTTTCTTGGTATCTCCTTTCAATTTCAGTGGTTTTGCAAGTTGCACTCTCTCATAAGTACAAACCTAGAGGAGGAAAAGGTTGAAAGCAAATTTCAAATTTATTACAAGAAAAACAGAGGAACATTGTGCTAGGTGATCAGAAAGACTATACACGTGTGGCTTTCACACAAAATTGAAGAATTGTTTGACTATACGTGTCAGTTCAATTTGAAAGTTAGGCAGCAATCAAAAGTTAGTGCAATGGATAGGAAAGACACAATGGTGAATAAATCTAAGTTACTTCATAGACTTTATTGATTCTGCACAACAGCTGCAAAGAAGTACGGGAGTACAATTAAAAAGGTTTTATATCTGATCATTTTCTGTTCCAACAATTCTTTCTGGCCATTATGTAAGATCGAAAATGATGCAGATTCCATCTATCCTCGTACATGTTGTATTTTCATTCAACGTAATTTATGAAGCTTAATAAACAACCAGTGCCAACAACAATCTGACACTGTCTGAGCTAAGGAAGATTTGTTCTTAGGTTACGGCCTATCCCTAGAATATTGAGGTGTGTCATCCACTGCACTACCATGAGTGCGCCAGATAAAGAACCCAAGACTATTCCTGGCATGGTGTTCAAACCTACAGGTAGATGAGGCATAAGCTTTGCCATCGGTGGGTCAGACGCATGTGCAGTGTAATAAACACTAACGGCATGAACAGTAAAATGATCGTCGTCAGGGGGGGACTGAGAGATTGGTGAGTAAAAATCTAATTTTTTGTCCAAAATACTCGGTCTCATGCTCTGAAACCTTTGTTCCACCCCTTTTAAGAGCTGGGTCATTCCATGAGGTTAGGGCACAAGTTGTGATGGTGTCCATTGTTACATGGGTTCCGTAAAAATGATCAGCTATTTCCCTGCATGTGGATTCCAAATTGACATTGTGCTACATCTTGCAAGGCTGGATACAGAGGTGTGTGTTATTTTTACAGAGTAACTGTTCTACTCTACAGGTCATGATAGGTGGTAAAGTTACCCATGTAACAAGGACATCGTCACAAATTGTGCCCGAACATCATGGAATGACCCAGCTATAGTACAGCCTTAATTAAATAGCTTTGTTCCGCCTGTGGATCATTCAACTCTCTCGTTTGATTTTAAAAGCCCATAGGCCTAAGTCATTTTAAAAGCCATAGGTGTTAACTTCACTGACTCCAAGTCATACGGAGTATAGAGGGCCTCTGTGGAGCACCCTCCCAGAGGACATGTTTTGTTATTGAGATTTAATGACAATGAATGCACCAAGGGTTTACTTGAGCCCATCCTAGAGGAAGAAAGAAAGGCCCTCTATTTCTCTAATGTGATGTCATACACAGGTCCTCTGTAATGGAGAACTAGTGTGGTATCTTTGAGTTCTCAACATGCTTGAAGTATAACATATGTACCTACCGTACAAAGTCACGAAAGTCATGTAGTGTGGCCAACTTAAAAGTTGTAACTAAGCTGCTGCACAGTGCAGTCCTACTCCTAGGCTATGGTAGGTATGTGCAAACCTCCGAAAGGTGCCCACACAAGCATTAGCCTGATTATCTGTCTGCAGAAGGTGTGTTCAGATTTCGCGCTGCTGATTGGCTGTTGTAAGCAGTCTGGTGGACAAATTAATGAATATGTAATGAGAAAAACATGAAGTACATGTTCGTTTTTGAAATTTTCCAATCGACTTCCAGGAAGTGCCATTACGGAGCCGCTAAAGTTTGAGCTTGAAATTCCACCCAACTAATCCTGATTTGTAACAACGCATTGTCATTTTAAAGTGAATCATTGTGAAACATAACTCTTGAGCTGTAAGTGGGTGTAATTTGAGCAAATTCTGAACCTTCGAAGGGGTGTTTTTTTATCAGACTACGGGGTGTTCAGTCCCATGTGGTGTACGTCATCTTGCCGTGATCAACGGTGCATAGAATGGCCGATGTTCAAAGAAAGTGACACATAACGCAAAGCAAGGATTGCGGGTCACAGTTTTTTCAGAAGATTCCTATGTTATTCAATACAAATACGGAGGCACAAAATACACCCATCTAAAATTCTTTAAAAAATCACAACTCCCCAACCCAACATCGCATAATATTGCTTTTGGTATCATTAAAAAGCTTATTTTAACCCCTTTGCGACAGGATTATTTTGACCACCACTGCTGGGCTGTGGCATGCCCTGAATGGAGGGCTTTATCCAGCAGCAGGCCCCATTGAACCAGCAGCTGCATGGTGAAAACATATGTGTGGTATGCACTAATGCTCACACAAACATGGCAAAGGTGCTGTAGTAGCAGTCATCCGTAGCGAAGGGCTTAAAACCTATCTTTTGGCATATGTTACATCTAAATCAGACTAACTTGAAAAATTGTCACATGCCTAGCTATGGCACGCAGTTTACTCTGTGAATTGGAAAGAGTTCCATATGCTTCAGATGCCAGTCATGCCAGTAATCTTTCCCTACAATGAACTTTAAGAAAGCAAATATGTGTCCAGAAATGTTCAATTTGGGAGGGAAAATACCAAGTTGTTTACTTAGAAAATACTTGTTGTAGAATGTTTCAGACTAGTCACTGGGTTTGTACACAAACCCTGCCCACACTGTCACGGCGACTGGTCTACGTGTACGTGTATGCCGCGCCGTGGGGGTATGGAACTCTTTCCTGCGAATCTATCACCATTTTTAAAACCTAAAAACATTGATACTGACATAAAATAGAGCTAAATAACATGTATATTCATTCCGCAGATCTCAGAAACAATAAACTTACTGCGATTCCAGTGAAAAAACGGTTTGCAAACCTGGCATGATCTATCATCGATCGTCACGACTGTGCGTTGGACATGTCCATGTTGTTTACATCAACCTCGTTCCCAAATAAACCATCGGATGTTAAAATAGAAGTCCTCTGAGAATGATACAGACTACGTCCAAGGAAGTAAGAACGTTATTGCCTATTGGAGTAATCTAGAAACTAGTTTAGATAAGAGCCAATCACAGAGAATTTTACACTTAAGTAATCTGTGACCCTCTGGTGGCGCGAAACATGCAGAGAGAGCATCACACCACTTTATACCAGCTGACCAGCGTGGACTGAATCGTACAGCAGTAGTACGGCCCCCTACGCTGGAGAACGGACACAGCAGGCCTAGTACGTCTTGTAGGCTTTGAAGTTATAGTTACAAAATTTGCCTCAAAACTTTCATCAACTAACAACACTTGCAAATCAAATTAGGCTCAAGAGAAACTGTTATCATCTTGGGACTTCGGGAATCTCGGCCGTTTTTGAAATGGAGGAAAGTATGGAAACTGACTTAACACTAACAGACGTGGGGAAGCAGTCAACATCGACGGACAAATCGAGTAAAAAGTCGAAGTACGAATTACCATGGTAAGTCAGTCGAGGCTTTTGACATGACAAAGGGAAAAAATGTTGCATCCTGACTCCACTTCAGCAGTTGTGTACAAAGTCTATGGGGAGAGAAGAGAATTTTCTAAATATTTCCCAACAACATTGTTTGGATGGATGTCTTGCTCAGCTCAACGCTTGCAACGAACACACGGGGGGGGGGGTGATGCACTATGTGATCGACCCTCCTCAGTCCTTGCAGTAGTCACAATTTTTGCAATATAAATTTGTATAACAGTGGCCAACCTAAATGTTTCTCGGTCCAAAATTTGTGTCTTTCCAGCATTTCTATAATGACTGACTTTTATTGAGATGATACCTAGGCCATGAGAAAAGTGGAGTCAGGATGCAACATTTTAGCCGGCTTTTTTTTTTAAGCAAAACAAGATGGGGACCATCAGATGATCAGACCATCACTTGACTGTGACATAGTTTGATACTACTGGCATCAGGTGAATGTTGCCCAGATTTGTCGAGCACAGTTGTGGAGTGGCGATGTTGATTGATTGATTGATAAAAGGGAGATGGGGCCTACTTAGGGACCCCCCAGTTTTGTGTCAATAATCTTGCAAAACTGGTAAGTACCCCCCCCCCAGGAACACTCTCTTTATTGCATTGACCCTATTTTTTTTGAAATTTCAAATTGTAAATTGTGAGAAAATGTGACTTACTGATAATTACCCATGCAAATTGGAATCCACTATGTGTCATGTGTTCAAACTCAGTTTTCCCTTGTAATTTCCCTCAAAACTCTAAACCCTACCCTTTTTGACAACATCAACCCTACAGTTATTGAGCATGATATCACAGTTACCAACCACGGTGAATTCAAAAGCTCAAATGTAGCTCTCCCTTCTATTATAGGAACGGGGTCCCCAGTTTACATGTACAATCCCCTAAAAAATAGTATTGTATTGCACAATTCGTCTTTTCATTCTAATTTACAGTTGTGAAAGATTGCTTCAAAAAGGAACTGTAAAGTTGGAGATACACATGATTTATTACACGATTGATGTAGCATACTGATGGTACAGACTGACTGATGGTGCCCAAGTTGACCACTGCACATGATCATGAGTTAGAGGCGTCAGTTGTCCACCCAATTGTTCTCAAACCTTTTTCCCCTTTAAATAAAGGGGAGGAGTTCCTTACACTGACACCAGTTGACACCCTGTGCACAGCCCCAATGAGCTGGTCTGAAAATTTCAAGTGTTTTCTAAATACTTTGATATTTTTTCCCTGCTGACTTTGTTTTTTTGGACATGTTATCACTTCCTGATGGCTTGTAACTACTGTTCAGAAAAATGAGTTATGTTCGTGTATAGAACTCTCCCCAATAGAATTGTCCAGAGCAAAGTGCCAGTAATGACGTAATGTGCCGGTGAACGGGGACCACAGTCTTCCTAGAAAAGTTGGTTTGGTATAAAAAAAAATGGTATGACTTCGGCATGGTCTTTGTTCTGTCAGGGTTGAGAAGTACAGACCAACTCTGCTGACTGACATCGTAGGGAACGAGGAGACCATAAGCAGGCTGGAAGTCTTCTCCAGGGAAGGCAACGTACCCAATGTTATCATAGCTGTAAGTGTTGAGGTTTCAAAATGGCGGGAGTTCCAGATCCAGCCACGATGTATGTGTTCTTGCAACCAAAAGTGGGGTGAAAAATTCTACTTCACCTTTTTTTTATTTGGAAGGCATCTCCAGTGAGCTTGGGAATAACTGAAATTGTCAAAGGAAGAGTTTCGGTTGGTCATATTAACTGCTGAATTATGAATCTTGAGAATCATGTTGGTCGGATAGGGAACTTTTTCCCACTTTGCACTTGCGCATGTCAAGCCCATTGGCCAGGATTTCTTGTGGGATATTTTTCACCCCTTAGCGCGGTTTTTGGTGTGATCTCATCACGGCTGATACATTCAGCTTGTGACCTTGACGGTATTTCTCCATGAAGGGCAGTCCCTGGCAAGACCATATATGCATGTATAGGGAGCATCCAGTCAAATATTTGACACCCCCCCGTCGATCAATCTCGTTCTGTTTTTGAGAGTTAGTATTGAAATCAAGTGATTGATGGAGATTTTCTTGCTGTGGCTGTGTTTCTTTCAGGGGCCACCGGGCACCGGTAAAACCACAAGTATCCTATGCCTGTGTCACGCATTGCTGGGTCCTAACTACAAAGATGCAGTGCTGGAAATGAACGCATCCAATGACAGGTTCGTGAGAAATAAAAATCCGTTGTCTGTTGTCAAAATTGGACACGGCCTAAAAAGTACATTAAACTTGTAGGGAGAACTTTAAAACAAAGTAGTGTAAGTCTTTTTAGGACTTGTCTTTTTGAACTATGATTTATTTTTTTTTTATTTTGGGGTAATTGTTTGTGAAAATTCAGAACTTGACGTAAACCAGACAAAATACTGCAAATCTCAACAGGCCTGTGTACAGATGATGCCGTGCTTTATTCATGTATGCTTCCTCATGGAAACTTGGAGGGGAAGTCTGATTGAAAGCTTCACAGGAAAGTGAACTTGTAAACAAAGTGCAACATAATCAGTACATAAATCTGTTTGACAGAGGTTCTTGACATGTGCCACAAAATGACATGGGGTACTAGGTAATTATGGAAGGCACAAGGTAGCTATATAACTCTCCCGCCCCAGCTAATACTTGAAATTGTAACAAGTGCGGTTTTTAATTTAAAGTCGGATCTCATGGTTTTTCCTCCATTTTGTAGAGGCATTGATGTTGTCAGGAACAAGATCAAAACATTTGCTCAGAAGAAGGTCACGCTGCCCAAAGGTCGCCACAAGGTCATTATTCTGGATGAGGCAGACAGGTGAGAGATGGCTGCAGGGCTCAGAATTGGGCTGAACTTTGAAGAAAGAAGCACGCACTCTCCACTTTCCTGATCTTTTTTAGTCTGTGATAGCAGGTTGCCCCAAAGAAGTTTAGAGCTATGAATGTAATTAACCAAATGTTTAAAAGTAATGTCACTGAGAGATTTCTACTTTGTCCTGTCTTTCTTTCAGACCTGAGGGTAGCTTCAAGGAATGCTGTTTTGTTTTATTGGCTACAGTTCATGAACAGACATATCTTGTGAACGATGTGACTTTTTGAATAGAAAATACAATAAACTAGTCTAAGCTGACTAGCTTGTATTATATACCAGTTGGTTGAACTCGGATCTTACTTCCTGCAGGCCGTTCTCCAAATCTTAGCTTCGTCAGAGCTCACTGCTTTATTTCAATATCAAGAATCAGTTTCAAACCTGCACAATTTTAAACATACTTACTCCAAACCTTAGCGTTGGATGATTAGATCTTTCCATCGTAGCAAATGGAGCTGCACTGAGCTTAACTGTTTTCACTGTAAGGGGGACGAATCTGCCAAATTGGAGCTTAAAGTCGGTAACAGAAACAAAACAGGACCTTGAAAAATCCTCATTATCCTGGCTGTCCTAATTGGGTTCTGCACTGCCACTAATCTGATACTAGGCATTCATCTCATTAGGATATTCCTGAATGAAGACTACTGACACCAAATTTCTCAGGATTTGGGGGATTTGTAACCGGAAAAAAATTGTGAATGTTTAAAAGTTCCTAATCATTCAGGTTTTCCTGCTTTAAGCTCTTTGTACAAACAAGCCAAGTTCCGGATTCATATAATTCTGGCTATTTGTGAGAAATCTTTTTCCTTTTCAGCTATTGATAGCCTTGAAAAGTGTCAATATTTTATTACAGTTACTGCCCTTTTTCTGTATGTTCTGTGGATATATGTGCATCTATCCGACGATAGTATGACCAGTGGAGCCCAGCAAGCCTTGCGCCGCACCATGGAGATCTACTCCAAGACCACACGCTTTGCCCTGGCCTGCAACGCCTCGGACAAGATCATCGAGCCCATCCAGTCACGCTGTGCCGTTTTGCGGTACTCGCGGCTGACTGACAAGCAGCTTCTCCAGCGACTGATGGAGATTGGAGAGCAGGAAGGGGTGGAATGCACAGACGATGGGCTGGAGGCCATCATCTACACAGCCCAGGGTGACATGAGACAGGTAACCTTTTTCACATTATATACACGGTTCTTCGGTGGGTTGCTGTCTCCTCCTGTTGCACCAATCTGCTACAGTGGAAAAAGGAACCAGACCAGTCTGCAGTGAACAGATCTTAGACAGTACTCCTTTAAAACAATCCTGGGGTTATGAAGGTACCAAAAAAGCAGAAACAAATCGTCTGTGGAAAGTAAACATAGGATCTGCTTGAAACAAATAAAGAAAAGGATGAACCTAAGAAAAAATAAAGAAAAGACAATTGGTGCTGGGCTTGAACTAGGCTCAGGTTACATGATAAACCATGTGTGTATCAACCAGGCACCACATATTTTCACTGACTGGATTGAATGTGAAACGTTTTAGAGATTCGCACTGCTAAATGTACAATGCAATTACAACAACAGTTGGTCACTTAATTTTTGTTTTGCTTTGGGTTTTTGTCACTTTTCTTCACTCGTAAAATGAATTAACGACTGATCTAAAGTTAGTTATCAGTTCCTTCACAAATATTAGGACATTTCTGAGGAAAGGAGAATATATTTTCAATGTTTGTTGTAGCACAGTGATTCCATTAAAGAAATGCTTAAAATTCAAATGAATTCAGCCTGTTTGTTTTCATTTTCAGGCAATAAACAACATGCAGTCAACGTATTCTGGGTTTGGGGTCATCAACAGCGAGAATGTATTCAAAGTGAGTCCATTTTTTCTAGAGACCTTTCACCAAATGCAGTAAATCCAATAACTGGTAGTTGTCCACCTGTTCTACGTGTAGTTTGTAGTGTGCAAGCATTATTAAAATTTTACTTCGTCTCAAGATTTGCCAAACGTGACTGTCCCATTTAAACATGTTTTTTCAGCATCCAGTGCTGCATTACCGAATATTAAACTGTGTTCCAACCTGGCAAATTGAGTCAAAAGTCACCAGATCTGCCATTCGACAAGCGCTGTTCGATTTCGCTTGGTACCCATGTGTAGGTTACCAAGCAAAATTTACCACTGGTTCGGAACCAAGGGGATTGGAGTAGATTAACCCAGCCAAGCAGGACTCGGTCATCATGGAGGCTAACCCTTGAGTTGGTGGGGCAAAGGCAGACTTTGAACTGGACAGCGACTTGGATGAGTGTGCGATTGACAAACCATCCCAGGATGAACTTGGCCAAGACCCGTCTCTTTTTCCTTCTTGGGCAGGTTTGCGATGAGCCCCACCCCATCCTCATCAAAGACATGTTTGCCAGGTGCATTGAGGGGGACGTGGACAAGGCCTACGAGGTGATGGAACACATGTGGGACATGGGCTACGCACCTGAAGACATCATCTCCAACATGTTCCGGGTGTGCAAGACGTACGACATGGCCGAATACCTTAAGCTGGAGTTCATCAAGGTCGGCCTATGCTTTGACCTTCCTGTGCCCACTGTTCTAGACTTGACGAGTAGTTGTGCCCCGTGATAAATCCCTGTCGTTGGTTGGCAGGGAAGTTCTTTAAAGATTCAGCCATTCTCACAATGACACCGTGTCATGTGCCACTGTGGTACTATGTGGCAACCTGTCACATGGTGTCACAAGGGCCCCCCCCAGAAAAAAAATTGAAAAATGAAGAAGGGGGGAATGGAATGAAAAATCACTAGAAATGAAAAAAGGGAGGAAACACCCTGAAGAACCAGCATCTTGCTTGAAAACATTTCAGTACCGACCCCCTTCTGTTTATGGTTTATCAGGTTGCGGCTAACGAGAGGCTTGCTCCCCCTGGGAAAAAGTCCTGGCGAACCCAAGTGTCCTGTCATGTTCCATGCTGTGCTGTCCTTATGCATCATCTATTTTATACCCACCCTTCACAACACCTTATCTCATTTCAGGAGATTGGCTTCACGCATCTGAGGATTGCAGAGGGAGTGAACTCACTGCTACAACTCAGCGGTTTGCTGGCCAGGCTGTGCCAGAAAGGGGTGTTACCCACTGAGGAGTCTTGATTCCTGCCTTCGAATGCACAGACTATCCACTTCATGAGACTTCCTCACTTTTTTTAACCCCGAAATACTGTGCAGATGTAGGTCAGACTAAATATCATTTCAAGTATTTTTTCCTACTCGACCACTGTAACATTATGGATAGAAACATATATATTTAAGTACCTCTCCACTGTTTAAGGGATGCCCTCGTCTGGTTGTGCTCTGAGATGATAAACTGGTTGTCAAGAGTGGTTTGCCTGAACTGACATTGGGTTAAGAGTGTCAGGAATTGCATCCTGTCCATAGTGATGGAAGTCCTGCAGTTTCTGGCATTTTGTTTGACATTTAAACTTGTCACACATTTGCATGTCATTAACTTTCCCGCTAACTCTTAAGGGCCATCCTATATTCATATTGCCACCCCTGCATCTACAGTGTCATTTATATTATTGCTTTTATTGTACACGATGATTTCAGTACTGATTTTGGCACTGAAAAAGAGAAATTCTTGTACGTGTATATTTGTATGGCCAAATTGCAAACAGAAATCAAAATAAACAGTGTTCCACAGCATTATTGAATGCTTTCGTCCAATTAAGTTTTATTTCATTTATTCAGAGTTACATAGAGTCTTTAACCTTTTCTCCCAAGCTTTTCCAGAATACCGTTTAAAATGCCCCCCACCTGTAAATGTGAGTTGTATAATCTTTCATACCATATCTATAAGAAGAGCACGCTAGTAAGAAATAATTAATAGGGAACAAACCTCGAAGAACTTTCAGATATTTGACTTCACCTCTTAATTGACTTCTAGACAAGAATACCACAGATACAAATTCTCAGCTTTGATTTTAGTTGACATCTTTACTTGGGCCAGATACATATGGAAAGTGTTGTGTGTGATCCCCCCATCAGACAATGGATGGAGCTGGGAAGATCTGCCAGAATGCCCTTTTGGCGGTTTCCCTCTGAACATGTTTTTGGGAATCTGTTCACACCACATCTATTCATTGAAGCTCTGCTCAAGCCACATCGAGCCGGCAGGTGCCCCCCCCCCCGTCTCAGAAAAACGACCGGTCCACCACAGAGCACCATCCGAGATCGTTGGGCCAATCCACGAGCTCGGAGTAGGCGTCACGCTGCCCACAGATCACCAAGTTTTCGGTGAGTTGAGCCTTCTCTACACCGCACGTGAACAACTGCTTCAAGACGTTCACCATTCCGAGACTCCGCTGTATGTAAGAAAGGAATTTGAAATTGAGTCAAGCTACACAGGTTGCAGAAAATGTAACTGTGCGCTCTTTCTTTCACCCTATTGGCATAATTATTCAACATGTTCCGGATTCGCCCGCTGGCATGCGCAGCGTCATTTGTAAAAATGAGACATTGACGTTTGTGATTGTGGATGTCGGCTGGGTTTTGATTTTCAAGTTACTGTTTGCTGTAACTGTTCCGTCTGTGGTTTATTCGCGGGTTTGATCTGTGACTCGTGGTGTTGGTTGGATGGTTTTGGTTTTAGTGGCTCATTATTTGGATTTTGGCTTTGACCTAGACCCAGTAACAACACCCCAGTTACCGGGCCTAAAGGGTTAATGGTTTGTACTTTGAGGGTTTGTTTTTGTGGCTTATGATTGGGGTTTGGTGTTAATCGTACGAGTTCATTTTTGGCTTGATATTTACATGTTCAGGGGTTTCGTGGTTACGGTTGCAGTATTAATAAGGCCGTGTCCGAAACGGGCTTCCAGAGCTACGGTTAGGTCTATCGTCTACGCGTCTCCACACATTTCAAATGGAGCAAAGACCTAGACGTAGCTCTAGACAACAGATTCGGATACAGCCTAAGTTTAAGATTAAGATTTGGTTCCCTACCAGTGCTTGACGTCTCTTATGTAAAACAGATAACTGCCGCTTTCAAAATGTCCATTTTAAAAAGCACCCCTAAGGAAAACATGTTTTCTCTGATATTTACCTGGCCATTGTTTAGCGTGCACAAGGGATTTATCCACCACGAACACAGGGCGAGGGTTCCCCTCGTTTTCTGTGTTTTCTCAGAACGACGCAATCTACATTCAGAATTCACATCTTGGGCATGAACAACAACAAAAGAAGCCTTTTTAAGCTTGTTATAGTTGAGCTCTGAAGACAAATGATTCTGCATTCGATTTGGATGCTTCCATATTTATTTGAACAGATTAAATCAAAGAAAACATGTTTTCATTAGAAGCGCTCTTTAAGATGCAGCGTGCGTGAACATTGTGCTACGAAAACCTACTTGCTAGGGCTTGGTATTTGTTCGCTAAATCTTTCACGTACCGGGCTATCTGTGTAGTTCCCAATCAAGGCGATGACCACAATACGGGGATCGTAGGAAATTTCACTGGTATGTGGCACCACGGTTTCCCAGCCACGCCCTTCGTAGACCCTGCCGTCTCCGCCAATCACAAAGTTGTATCCAATGTCGTTCCAACCTGGACAGTGTTAAATTTGTGATAAGTTTAGCCGTAGGAATGCATGTATCGTTATGTTGAAATACTGAGCAAAATAAGATTTGAGTGAGATTATAAGTCTTTTGTGAGCCTGCTGAGGACTCTCTCTGGCTGAAAAAAAATGCAAAAAAGCCTTGAAAAATTCTGACCCCCATCATTCACGGTCAACCAGGGATACAAACTTGTAGGGTCCCAATATCCACCTCCCCGAATCAAAATCACCTTACTACGTGTTATTAATCCTAAAATTAAAAATACCTTGAGGTTAGGTTTTGAATTTCCCCTTTCTCCTGTTTTAATATTCTTATTCTCACCCTTGCTGTCCATGTGGTAATTCTGGATATTTTGCATCAATTCTTCACAGCTCTGGGACGTGTTACAGGGTGAGGTCGCGGTGTGGCGCACCACGACCACGTGCTTGGGTCCTTTCATGACTGGGCTATCCCAGGGGGATCGAGCGTTCCATTCGTCCCGGGAGACGACGGAGAGACCAACGCACGGCTTGACTGGAGGTGCAAGAGAATTGTTCTGGTGTAAGATCGACGATCTACATCGAGTTTTGAAGTGAACGAGCTATATCGGCAGAAAGCAAGCCAAACTTCTAACTCCAATTGGCCAATATTGAGCTAACTCAAACGACTGGTCAGAATCCCAGTTTGTTGTGACAGGCCTAGAGGAGTTTGTTGAGTCAGGCGTGGATCCAGCAGGGAGTGTCAGACCCCCACCTTCACTCACTGACATATAATTGAGGGCGTTGGGGCTAACGTCTAAGGTTGGAGGACCCCACAAGCACATGGACAAAAATAATGAGATTGCATGGCTTCACCAATGGCGACAACTACATGCCCCCCTCGTATGAACAAATATTTCCCGACCCCACCCCAAGCAAAGTACCTGGATCTGCCCCTATGGGTGGGTGGTGTCTTGTATGTATACATGGTTGTGCACCGAATTCGTAAAATCTGGAAGTAAAATTCCAGTCAGATCTTCGACTTAGGGTGCGTAAAACCACATGCATTTTCACATTCAAAGCGTTCACCTATTCGCGGACGTTGTGGAACCTTCACAGTATTGGAAAACCCTATGGAGTGAGCACAAAGTAGGACTACCCAGTCTATCTGCAGGTAGATTTGCAGTTGCTAAAATTTGTGTCAACTATTAACAATATTTCTGGGATCCGGACGTGCTTCCTTTATTCAATACTAAATTTCGTTATTAATATCCGAGAAATTCAAATCGACAAACCCATGATAGAACTGTTGTAGAATTCTTTGGTGAATTCTCCACCGCTAACATGCTCAGAATACTGTCTGTTTGGAGCAGAGGACTGAGCGATCGCATACTTACGGAACTTGAGAAGGCTCAGTTTCGGCAACCGCGATCTCGGATGGGGTACGCCAACCAGAGTGAATGTGGTACATGTATTTGCGACGCACAGACACAACAAAACAGTTACGGACAAGCGACTTTGGAAAGCCATCTCAAATGTATATGTATTCCTTGTCGGCTCCTTGCCACGTATTGGTGAATACCAATCGTGAAGCCTCTTTTATATCTCCCATATCAATTGTAAAACAGTCCAGGAGGATTCAATCGAAGTTTGAAATTAATTACTTTTGAAAGAGGGCATTAGATACTGGAAACATGTAGGCATTATTCCATTTAGGCATAATTACTGAGCTTATTTAAACAAAGGCAATAATTCCTACCATAAAATCATTTTAAATTACAAGTTACTTTAAAAGAGTTATTTAAAAGGACCAAGGAAATACAGTAGCGCTTTCATGTTTCAAATAACCTTATTTTCCGTTTAGTTTGTTATTTTCATCTGTGTTTTGGAGCATTTTTTTGTATTTATACAATGCGAATTTCCATGTACTCGTTGGCAAGATTCTGATGTCTTGCATCGCAGGCACTGAAACGTAATGTTGCACGGATTGGATTGGTGCACAAAATTATTGGAATTTAATAGCTGTCGCAACTTTCTGATTCTTTGTTATCATAAAAACCGAGCAAGCAATCTTTTCCTAGAAATGTTTTTGAAAGAGCAAATTTGGGTTTGAAAATTTGAACACGAAAACATTGTCTTCCCTGATTAAAGTAACAGTATCAGCGCCCTCACTTATCCCGTAAAGCTTAGGATAGTGTTTAGTGTTTCAAAACAAGCGCACATTTTGATACGCTTAACCCGGCCCAAAAGGATTTCAAACAATTTTCATGTATCAAAGAAGGGTATAAAGATGCACAAAACGTGAGTCTAAGAAAATTCATTTTCACCGATCTTAGCTTTGTTGGTTTCCGCCTAGACCTGTTTGTTCGATACGTCCATACACAAGCAGCCGCTCGACAGCAAGTAAATAAATTTCCAGTTGAGATTTCACAAAAATAAACATTCTTTGGCAATCAACGTTTTCTTTGAGAATCACTGTTATGCGAGGATATACTCAAGAGTAAATCTAATCCCTTTTAATAAAATCAAAATTGGGTTTGCAACGGCCAAAATCAGTAACCACATTTGTATTTGCGTTTCAGTCCACGTACTTGCCATCTGCTGGAAGGAATCGCGTGACAATTAATGAACAGGGAAATTGCGACCTGCCTAATCCTGTATGGCTGTGCCTTCTGGAATATTCTCACGGCAATCGTTAATCCACTTGATTACCTGTGTTACCAGATTTTGGTTATCATATACGATGACGACGCATGACGAGACTGACAGGATTTTTTGTTGTTAGAGCCAGAAATGGCAGTTGGCGTTAACGTAAACCACGCAACAACCCTTTCCTTGGGTTACTTTCTCCATGGTCACAAGAGGGCGCTTGTCATTACAGCCAGTTTTGTCTTCAGCTTAAGTTAGGCCGGCCATTAGAAAAGTGTACCATTAGCTTGAATTCAAAAGCCTTTGAGAAAAACGGTCATTGATGACAACGTTGAAGATTATGAGACGCCTTCACTGATGGCCCTGAAAATTCTAGCAAGTAAAATCCATGTACATGGAAGACTGACAATCAAAAGTCGATAAAAGTGGCGATTAAAATGCGAGAAATCATAAAATGACAAGTTACAGGTTTCTTTGGAATAGGGATTAAAGTTCATGTCTAAAACGTCCAATTATGTTCGTGTTGCTTGGTTGTGTCAGAAAGGAATGGACAGGAAATTCATTAATTGTCAGTGCACATTATTCACGGTCTTAAAATTGTGAATTCAGAATGGGGATCTGAGTCTACAAACAGGGCTCATTATTTACCCAGTTCTGTGATTTTTCCGAGGCAATGTCTTGTTCTCCACCCATTAGCCAACGACACTGGCGAACTAACCCTCGATGGCATGCACACCTAATTTCGACAGGAGTTTGTAAGAAAATGTAATTTAAGTGTTCGTGCATGCTTACTCTTTAATCTCAACATTTCCTGGACACTAGAAACTAAAACTCATGGGCCGGGGCGGCGGTGGAGTTGGGTTAGGTAAGGGAGGGTGACACAGTTTGCACTGGGTGGGGCAAGGCCATAGACTCCATGTGTATAAATTGCAAGATCCGGGCTTTCGATTTTCCTCAATTGAAGTGGTCTTCTTTCATGCTTTCGTTTGCACTGTTAGGCTATTTGTGCTGTTTTGCGTGGTCGTGACCGGGCCTTAATCGACGTCTTAAATGAAAACATGGTGACGATGCTGTATCCCCTTTTCTCCCAGCGGAAAAGAAGGCGATAATTCGTTCCATTCCTGCAAATTTATAGAATCTTGCTCGCTCTCAGAGGAGGGGACGCGTGCGTAAATTTTATTCAGCTTCAATTAATAATAACGGCTTTAGTATGAATTGCATGCATACAATTCTCGGTTTAAAAAAACACAGCCGAAATCAATGGCTGTCTGACGACAGCTCTTGAAAACTGTCTTACACGATGACAAGGGTTAGGAGATGTATACTCGCAATGTTGAGTGGTAATTTACCGCGCTGTTCACGTACTCTTCGCGTCAACACTTGCGCCATGCGTTGCCTATCCGTCAAAACTGCTATGAGAGTGATTTTGACGGCCAAACCCAATGCACACGTGTGCTATGCTATGCAGATGTGTGTGCTTGTGGTGTCCGTGGGAGTGAAACGCATGGACACATCGTGTACATACGCACACACCCAAAAACGTACCTATGGAAAGGCGCCTTTGTGGTTGAAGAAAGTGGAACCAGCGTGTGCCCCTATTGTGTCCTAGCCACACCCTATGTCCACCCTCTCGTGACCACCAATCAGAAAATTGTAATCGATATCGTCCCACCCTGCAGATGATGAAAGGAAATATGGTGTATTAGAGACACGACTTGGGTACGAAATCATCGATCCTTCGGTTGTGATGAATAAGACTCCGCTTAACGCAACAAAGGTGTGTCATAATGTCAAAGCGTGTGTGAGATTTTAGCTGAACAACTCGAAAATATCGGCACAGTAGGGGAAGTGCATTACGGGGATTTCCTAAAAATGTTCAATCGAAGATGGTACTTTGGCTCTTCTAAATTTCTCACAGAAAAATTCTAGGTCTAAATTTATAAATCCGTTGATAAATATCTTTTAGACAATCCGTTTATAAATATCTTTATAAAGTTAGCTTAATAAAGCTTTATAAAGTTTGGCATTATACAATGCCAATTTCAGTTGTTCTATTCGTTGTGCAAGTCCACACTGTCTCCTCAGTGGGAAACTTCAGTGGCAATGGCATGTGTACCACCTTAGACAGAACATTCACGAGTTATAGTTACACGACAGGTTCTTTGTACTCCCAAATACTGTGCAGACTCAGGTCAGACAAAATATCCTTTCAGGTACTTTTTCCTACTCGACCACTGTAACGTTATGGCTAGAAGCATACAAGTTTAAGTACCTCTCCACTGTTTAAGGGATGCCCTCGTCTGGTTGTGCTCTGAGATGATAAACTGGTTGTCAAGAGTGGTTTGCCTGAACTGACATTGGGTTAAGAGTGTCAGAAATTGTACCCTGTCCACAGTGATGGAAGTCCTGCAGTTTCTGGCATTTTGTTTGACATTAAACTTGCAGTGGGTGTTGCACACACATTTGCATGTCATTGGATTTCCCGATAACTCTTAAGGGTCCTCCTAAATTCATGTTGCCAGCCCTGCGTGTAAAGTGTCAATTATATTATTTGATTTATTGTACACGGTGACTTTGATACTGATTTTGGCATTCACAAAAATCAATTCTTATATGTGTATATACGGACAGATTGCAAACAGAGATGAAAATAAACAGTGTTCCACAACATTATTGAATGTACTACGATGCTTATCGTCCAATTAAGTTTTATTTCATTTATTCAGAGTTACATAGAGTCTTTAACCTTTTCTCCCAAGCTTTTCCAGAATACCGTTTAAAATGCCCCCCACCTTTAAATGTAAGTTGTATAATCTTTCATACCATATTTATTAAAAGAGCACACTAGTAAGAAATGATTAGGCCTAATAGAAAACAAACCTCGAAGAACTTTAAGATATTTGACTTCACCTCTTAATTGACTTCTAGACAAGAATACTACAGATACAAATTTTCAACTTTGATTTTAGTTTTATCTTTACTTGGGCCGGATATATATGGAAAGTGTTGTGTGTGATCCCCCCCATCAGACAATGGATGGAGCTTGGAAGATCTGCTAGAATGCCCTCTTGGCAGTTTCCCTCTGAACATGTTTTTGGGAATCTGTTCACACCACATCTATTCATTGAAGCTCTGCTCAAGCCACACCGAGCCGGCAGTGCCCCCTCCCACGGTCTCAAAAAGACGACCAGTTCACAAGATATCTGTTTTCGACATCGTTGTGCAGTTTCCGATATCGTTCTTCCAACCCACGGTCTCGGAGGCGAACCGGAAACAGACCAACACGTTTTCGATGAGTTGACCCCTCCGCATACCGCACAGGAGCAACTGTTCGAAGCGGTCATACATTCTTTCACTGGGCTGTACATCAGAAAAGAATCTGAAATTGAGTCAAGCTACACATGTTGCAGAAAATGTAACAGTGGGCTCTTTATTTCACCCTATTGGCATGTTGTACGTGTTCTAGATCTGAGCAAACTGTTTGCATGTACCCCACGGCATCATTTGTAAAAATGAGACATTGAAATTTGTGATTGCGGTTTGAGAATGTGGCCCGGGTTTCGGTTTTGTCCCGTCCGTGGTTTATTCGGGTTTTGATTTGTGACTCGTAATGTTGGTTGAATGGTTTTGGTTTAAATGGCTTTTGGATTTTGGCTTTGACTTAGACCCAGTAACAGCACCCCAGTTACCGGGTCTAAGTGGTTTAGGGTTTGTAGGCCTACTTTGAGGGTTTGTTTTTGTGGCTTATGATTAGGGTTTGATGTTTATGGTACGTGTTCAGTTTTTTGCTTGATATTTACATGTTCAAGGGTTTTGTGGTTACGGTTGCAGTTTTAGGTTTAGGATTTGGAGGTTTAAGGTTAGACTGGCTCCCTACCAATGCTTGACGTCTCTTATGTAAAGCAGGTAGCCACCATTTTCAAAAAGCACACAACATAATGCCTGAATGTTACAATGTTCAGTTTAAGATGCAGCGTGCCTAATCCATTAGTATCCAACTTTATCGAGCATTGTGCTCCGAAAGCCCACTTGGTAAGGCTTGGTATTAGTTCGCTAAATCTTTCACCGTACCAGGTTATTTACGTAGGTCCCAATGAAGGCGATGATCGCAACATGGGGGTCGTAGGAAGCTTCATCGGTTTGTGGTACCGCGGTTTTCCAGCCACGCCCTTCGTAGACCGAGCCGTCTCCGCCAATCGCAAAGTTGTATCCAATGTCGTTCCAACCTGGACAGTGTTAAATTTGTGATGTATTGTTATGCTACAATGCTGAGCAAAATTAGATTAGTCTTTTGTCAGCCTGCTGAGAGCTCTCTCTGGCTGAACAAAAATTGCGAGAAAGCCTAGAAAAATTCTGACCCGGATGGTTCGCGGTCGTCCAGGAATACAAACTTGTAAGGTCCCAATATCCACCTCCCACAATCGAAATCATCTTTCTACGTGTTATTAATCTTAACATTAAAAATACCTTGAGGTCAGGTTTCGAATTTCCCCTTTCTCCTTTTGTAATATTTGTATTCCTACCCTTGGTGTCCATGTGGTAATTCTGGATATTTTGCATCACTTCCTCACAGCGCAGGACCGCATTGCAGGATGAGGTCCTAGTTTGGTGAACTAAGACAACGTGCTTGTGTCCCGTCATGTCTACGCTATCCAGGGGGGATCGAGCTTGCCAATCTCTCCGGTAGGTGACGGGGAGACTACTGCATGGGTCGTCTGGAGGTACGAGAGAATTGTTTTGGTGTAAGGTAGACGAACTACATCGAGTTTTGAAGTGTAGGAGCTATATCGGCAGAAAATAAGTCAAAGGTCTAACTCCAATTGGTCAGTTTGCTAATTGAGCTAACTCAAACGACTGGTCAAAATCCAAATTTGTTGAGTCAGGTGTGGATCCAACAGGGCGTGTCAGACCTCCACCCCCACTCACTGCTGGGGCTAACGTCTACCATTGGAAGACCCTACAAGCATATGGACAAAACAATGAGACTGAATGGCTTTACCAATGACGACAACTACATGTAGGCCTACCCCCCTCGATTAAAAACAAATATTTTCGGAACCCCATCCCAAGCAAAGTACACTGGCTCCGCCCCTGTGGGTGGATGGTGTCTTGTATACATGTTGTACACCGAATTTGTAAACTCTGGAAATAAAATTCCAGTCGGATCTTTTACTATGGGTGCTTGAAACCACATGCATTTTCACATTCAAAGCACCAAGGCCTATTCGCAGACGTTGTGAAACCTTGACAATTAGAAAATCCTATGGAGCACCAAATGGGACAACCTAGTCTATCTGCAGGTAGATTGATACATGTAGTTGTTAAAATTTGTGCCAACTATTAGAAATATATCTAGGATCTGAACGTGCCTTCTATAAAATAATGCTGAATTTCGTTGTTATTAAAATCCGAGTAATTTAAATCGACAAACTCATGCACGATAGAACTATTGCAGAATTCATTAGTGAGTTTTCCACCTTTAACGTGCTCAGAATATTGTCTATCTTGAGCAGAGCACTGAGCGATCGCATACTTACCAGTCGGGTGAAGAAAGCCTCTCAGAGAGAATGTGGTATTTGCGACGCACAGACACAGCAAAACAGTTACGGACAAGTGACTTTGAAGACCCATCTCTACGGACGTATTCCTTGTCGGCTTCCTGCCACGTATTGGTGAATACTACTCGTGAAGCCTCTTTTATATCTCCCAAAGTAAGTGTAGAAATAGTCCAAGAGGATCCAATCGAAGGTTAAACTTAATTCCTTTTTAAACAAGGCATTAGATACTTGAAACATGTGGGCATTATTCCATTGAGGTAATTACCGAGCTTATTTATATACAGGAAATTATTTCTACCATAAAATAATTTTTAAACTACAAAGTTACTTTAAAGGGACCATGCAAATATAGTTGCGCTTTTGTGTTTCAGTTAACCTTACTTTCCATTAAGTTTGTTATTTTAAATCTGTGTTTTGGAGCACTTTTTTGTATTTATACAAATGCGAATTTCTATTTATTATTCGTTGGCAAAATTTTGATGTCTTGCATCGCAGGCACTGAAACTTATTGTTGCATGGATTTGTGCACAAAACTATTCTTTTATTAAGATGTCACTTCTTTCTGATTCTTTGTTATCATCAAAACCTTTGCCTAGGAATGTTTTTGAAAGAGCAATTTTGGGTTTCAAAGTTGTGTCTTCGCTGATTTACAGGACAGTAACAGCGCCCCCACCTTCCTGGTAAAACTTCGGACAATGTTAGTGTTTCAAAACAAGTGCACTTTTCGATACGCTTACCCCAAAAGGATTTCAAAGAGTTTTCATGTATCAAATAAGAGTATAAAGATGCACAAAACGTGAGTCTAAGAAACTTCGTCTCCGTCTAGACCTGTTTTTTTTCTAGAAGTCCATACACAAGCAGCCGTTCGATAGCAAACAAATAAATTTCCAGTTGAGAATTCACAAAAAAGTATTCTTCGGCAATCAAGTTTTTTTTTGAAAATCACTGCTATGTCAGGATAAACTCAAGAGTAAATCTAACTACTCAAAGTTTTATAACGTCAAAATAGAGCTTGCAATGGCCAAGATCGGTTAACCACATTTGTATTTTTCTCTCAGTCCGCGTACTTGCCATCATGCTGGAAGGAATCGCGTGACAATCAGTGAACAGTGAAATTGCGACTGTATCCTGCCTAATCCCTGGGCTGTGCCTTCTGGAATATTCTCACGCATATGCAGCAAGGTATGAGACGGAGAGAACCCCCCTGCTTTGTGTTGGTCATTGTCTCGCAGGAATCTGGAGAATTCCTTTCAGACATCTTGTTAATTGGGGGATGTGTTAAGTAACAACAGTCTGGAATGTGTATAGGGATTGGACTTGTTCATGGGGTACCCCTCGGTCTCATTTCTTGCTGGGTATAATTCAGTATATGAAATCTGGCCTTTTTTATTTCCGAGAGTTGGATTACGAGCGGACGTAAGAACATGACCAATTATTTGGTTCATTTGTCGGTTGACTGGTCGTGTGATTAGAGGACTGTTTTTCAAATCCTCTTGATAGCAATAGCATGCTTTCGTCCCTTCTTATGGGACTCATCTGTTGCATTATGGGTGATTACAGAGACGGAATCGTACGAACTCGCATATGATTCAAGATTAAATTTGCGAGCCAAGAGTGGGCATATATTTGTGTTGTAGTGGGGCAGCCATTTGGTTTAGCGGGAGTGGAAGCGAGGTTGAGTCCTCTTCCAAAAGCGATCTTTTCAGTGTTTGTAAGTGTCGCTTTGGATAAGTTGGTTATGAAGGTTTCAAATTGTTCCGCTAATAGGTTATCTGGTTGGATTTGGTGATCTTGGTCTTTTGTCAGCATGTTGTGATGTTGTGGAGACACAGTTCTATTTCCGTTGACTGTGCGTTCTCGTCTTTTTTTTATTTAGTTTTCTTTCAGCCATTACTTTGACTCTGGATTGGTAGTAATAAAGGAGTGTCGTTCAGGGTATAAGGTTGTATTCCTCAATTCAATGTGTGAAGCGGAAGCATGAGACAGCAGTGGCTAGAAATATTCTCTTTCAGAGATGTGGTAGTCTTGAAAAAGACCGTTCGGTTTGAAGAGACTTATCTTGGTATTGGTGCCTACTCTTGACTCCTTCTGGTTGGGTCTTTGGCCGGTTGAAATAGTCAAACAAGTTGCGGGCTGCGGTGCAGCTGTGGCTTGGTGAGGAATAGTGCCGTTCGATTTTGGAGTTTCTTCCACCGTCCAAGAAAGGAGCTCTGGAATTTGAGCGAATGGTGTGGCCGGGGTGGACGTACCCTGATGTAGGCCTACATGTAGATGTAGTCTGGTGGTGTTTGAATCTCGATTGCCTTTGACAGAGAGTGTGTTTGTCGGGTGATGTGAGTTTTGACAGAAACAAGTCTGTTGACTTTGTTTGCCAGACTCTTAACCCGTTGGAACTGTGTGTCAGTTAGGCGGTGCGGTTGCAGGATTCGTTCTTTGTTGGTTGATGGTTGTTCAGGGAACTGCAGGTCCAGTGAAAATGGAAGGGAATCGTCGTTACCAGAGGTATGTACTGGTTTGTCCGATGGCCTGACTCCACATCACACAGCAGGCAAGAAGCTTTCGAAGAGCATCCAGTAGGCAGTTGCTTGGTTGTGTCAGAAAGGAATGGACAGGAAATTCATTAATTGTCAGTGCACATTATTCACGGTCTTAAAATTGTGAATTCAGAATGGGGATCTGAGCCTACAAACAGGGCTCATTATTTACCCAGCTCTGTGATTTTTCCGAGGCAATGTTTTGTTCTCCACCCATTAGCCAACGACACTGGCGAACTAACCCTCGATGGCATGCACACCTAATTTCGACAGGAGTTTGTAAGAAAATGTAATTTAAGTGTTCTTGCATGCTCACTTTTTAATCTCAACATTTCCTGGACACTAGAAACTAAAACGTTCGGACTCAGGGGCGGCGGAGGTGGGGTATGCGTGTCAACACTTGCGCCATGCGTTGCATATCCGTCAAAACTGCTATGAGAGCGACTTTGACGGCCAAACGCAACGCACACCTGTGCTNTTCTCACGGCAACTGTTAGTCTGTTTAATTATGTGTGTTACCAGAGACCGACATGATTTTTTGTTGTTACAAGAGCAATAAATGGCAGTTGGTGTAAACGTAACATGTGATGCAAGATATGGGGCGGAGAGAAACCCCGCCTTTGTGTTGGTAATGTTTGATTGGAAGCTCAGGAATTGTTTACATACTTCTGGGGGAGGGGTGTGTTAGGTATAGTCTTGAGTGTATATAGGGATTGGACACGTAGGGACATATCGTGCATAGTATCAAACGTAAACCACGCAACAACCCTTTCCTTGGGTTACTTTCTCCATGGTCACAAGAGGTCGCCTGTTGTCACAGTCATATTTGTAGAAGAGACGGTAGATTTAAGGCTAGGTGGGGCTAGGACCCGATCTTGGGCAAGCCGTGGAGCCACTCTTGCGTACGTCGTGGTGTCCACGCAGCACTCAGAGGTGAAAAGGTGATGGTACTTTCCCATTCAGTGACGCTTCGTCTCTGGTGACTTGCAATAACTCCTGGTTGGAGTATGTGAAATCTTGCCTTTTTATTTCCGAGAGTTGGATTATGAGCGGACGTAAGAACAAGTTGGTTCATTTGTCGGTTGACTGTTTCTCAAATCCTCTTGATAGCAATAGCATGCTTTCGACCCTTCGTATGGGACTCATCTGTTGCATTATGGGTGATTCCAGAGACGGAATCGAACTCACATATGATTCAAGATTAAATTTGCGAGCTAAGAGTGGGCACATATTTGCGTTTTAGTGGGGCAGCCATTTGGTTTAGCAGGAGTGGAAATGAGGTTGAGACCTCTTCCGAAAGCGATCTTTTCAGTGTTTGTAAGTGTCGCTTTGGATAGGTTGGTTATGAAGGTTTCAAATTGTTCCGCTAATGGGCTTATCTGGTTGGATTTGGTGATCTTGGCCTTAGATCAGCATGTCATGGAGACAGTTCTTTTTCCGTTGACTGTGCGTTCTCGTCTTTTTTTATTTAGTTTTCTTTCAGCCATTACTTTGACTCTGGATTGTTAGTAATAAAAGAGTGTCGTTCAGGGTATATGGTTGTATTCCTCAATTCAATGTGTGAAGCAGAAGCATCGGGAATACTTGGGGGGGTTGTGGTTATACTCCCTTATAAAGGTTATGTTTATATGAGACAGCAGTGGCTAGAAATATTCTCTTTTAGAGATGTAGTAGTCTTGAAAAAGGCCGTTTGGTTGAGACTTATCTTGGTATTGGTGCTTCCTCTTGACTCCTTCTGGTTGGGCCTTTGGCCGAGTGAACAAGTTGCGGGCTGTGGTGCAGCTTTGGCTTGGAGGAATAGTGCCATTCGAGTTTGGAGTTTCTTCCACCGTTCGAGAAAGGAGCTCTGGAATTTGAGCGAATGGTGTGGCTGAGGTGGACGTACCCTGATGTAGGCCTACATGGGATGTAGCTTGGTGGTGTTTGAATCTCGATTGCCTTTGACAGAGAGTGTGTTTGTCGGGTGATGTGAGTTTTGACACAAACAAGTCTGTTGACTTTGTTTGCCAGACTCTTAACCCGTTGGAACTGTGTGTCAGTTAGGCGGTGCGGTTGCAGGATTCGTTCTTTGTTGGTTGATGGTTGTTCAGGGAACTGCAGGTCCAGTGAAAATGGAAGGGAATCGTCGTTACCAGAGGTATGTACTGGTTTGTCCGATGGCCTGACTCCACATCACACAGCAGGCAAGAAGCTTTCGAAGAGCATCCAGTAGGCAGTTGCTCGGTTGTGTCAGAAAGGAATGGACAGGAAATTCATTAATTGTCAGTGCACATTATTCACGGTCTTAAAGTTGTGAATTCATTATTTACCCAGTTTTGTGATTTTTCCGAGGCAATGTCTTGTTCTCCACCCATTAGCCAACGACACTGGCGAACTAACCCTCGATGGCATGCACACCTAATTTCGACAGGAGTTTGTAAGAAAATGTAATTTAAGTGTTCGTGCATGCTCACTCTTTAATCTCAACATTTCCTGGACACTAGAAACTAAAACGTTCGGACTCAGGGGCGGCGGAGGTGGGGTATGCGTGTCAACACTTGCGCCATGCGTTGCATATCCGTCAAAACTGCTATGAGAGCGACTTTGACGGCCAAACGCAACGCACACCTGTGTT